ACATGTGCTAATAAAAAAGAAAAAAGATAAGAAGTCTTGCACGTACTTGTTGGCAAGGCCTCAGGCTGGGTCTCATGGCCTGTCACAAGATGAGACAACCAGAATGGAAATGTGGAATAAACATGAACTGAGCAGCAAGTGCAGCTTCCCTGAGCACCCATCTAGGTCAGCTGAGTTACAGCAGACCTGCAGATCTGTAAGCAAGGGGATGAAGCCATTATTATAAGCTGCTGATGTTTTCAGGGAGTTCAGTGTGCAGCTTCACTGTAGCAATTGCTAGCATAGGCAGGGGATTACAAAACAGTATGATCTTTGTTTTTAAGGAAGCTGCTACATGTGTGTGTGAATGATGCTCTCTATTTTTGCCTATATGTAATTCTGGAATGATAAAGAATAGAAGGACTATTTCTCTTTTGGTGGTAGAATTATGAAGTACTTCAATCTGCTTTTTTGGGACTCTCCTACATTTAGAAACATGTAATTTGTATACACACTTGTTTTTAAAGAACAAATTTCATGGTAAGATGTGTCTGGAATTCTAATATTACAATTTAAAATCTCCATTGAGAAGAAATCTAGTATAGTCTAGGTAGTGTAGCATCCATGTCTATTTTCCTTCTCTATAACATAACACATGGAAGTATCTGATAAATCTTCACTGAATTGAATCAAAGGCTATTAAGGTATTGCCAGCCAGCCTCCAGTCTCTGAATACAATGTTCAAAAATTATCCATTTGACAGATTTTTATGTAAAATTCACATATCATATTAGTCCTTTAATGGCTCAATTCATGAACATTGATGGAGTTCATAAAATGCAAGAATAATATGTATTTCTTATTCCAAGGGAGGGGGACAACTCTGGCTTCCTTGCTTATTGGTTTCTTTTCACTGAATTGATCTGATGATGAGAATCTGTACTCAGTCGATCATGGGGGCCTTGGAGGTAGTAGTCTGGCACAAAGTAGAAAAAGGAGTGGGGTTGTCCCTCCTATCCAGTGGGACTGTGGTGTGGGCTAGGAGGAGCTGAGACCTGTGACTGAGCAAAAGCATTCCTAGGCATGACTGCAAAAACTCTTGTGCATGCCAATCTATCAGGTTGGTCTGTGATGGCTGTTCTCTTGGATGTAATATAGCAAACATTTTAGTTTTCTAAATTAATAAATGGAGCTGGGAAATATAAAATATGGCATTTGTTTACATTTTTATTGACAAATTCCATGTTTTCATATGTTCTATTTTTAGAGCATAGTTCACCTCCATGGAGACAACATGCTAAGGAATTTGCCACTCTAGTCTCTGTAAGGATGTAAGTCTTTGCAATGTAAATATGTTGTTATGGCTTAGGTATTCCAAAAGCCTCACATGTATAAAGGTAGGGCTTTTGGAAGATGATTGGACCATGGAGGTGCATAATCATTAGTGCATTCATCCTTTGGTGAGTATAGTAGCTGAACGTGCTGTTAGGAGGTAGGGTTTGGTTGGTGGTGGATCCTTGGGAGCATGACCTAGAAGGGTATATCTCCCTCTCTAGATCCTTCCTTAGCTATTTGCTTCTTGGCCACTATGATGTGAGTAGGTCTTTCCTCTGTGGCAGGCCTTTCTATCATGCCATTTCTGCCTTTGAGCCTATCAACCATGGACTGAAATTTTGAGCCAAAATAAACCTGTCCTCTATGTTGCAGGTACAGGATATTGTGTCTTAATGATGGGAAAGTGACTAAGATATAAGTATATACTTTTTGAGGAAATCTATACAAATTATGGATTCCATTTCAGGAGATTGAAAAATACGTTATGGTTGTTATGGTTTATATCTAAAATGTACCCTTAAAACTCATTCAGAAGTGAAAGCTGGTTGGAGGCAGGTGATTCACTGGGGGCTTGATTTTGGAGGCTTTCTGGCTGGCATAATATGAATAGGTTTTTTTTTTTCTTCAGTGATCCTCTGTCATGGTTTTTCTACCTTGGAACTAGCTGGCTTTGGACTGAACCCATTTGAAACCTCTCCTCCCTTAAGTTTTGAATGTCAGGTATTTTCTTCCAGTCATGGGAAAGTAACTAAAACTGAGTTGATTCCAGGAGTGGGGTTCTGATGTGCTTGGACCTGACCTTACTGTTTAGAAGCTTTTGGAACTAGTTTGTGGGAGAAGTTTGGAAATGTTTGTCATATCAGCTAGAGAAGCATTATGATGCTGTAAGGCAGATTTGATGGGCAATTTTGGTTGGAGCTCAAAAGACCAGAATATTGATAGGAATGTGGACAGCAAGAGCCAGGTTCATGAAATTTCACTTGAGAACAAGGACTTTATCAGAAACTGGATTAGCACCAATATTCATTTCATTTTGGCAGATAATTTGTCTAAGTTTTGTCTCTGTCTTAAGACTTTGTATAAGGCTGAATTTAAAGCTGTGGACTAACTAATCTGGGGTAGGAAATTTCAATGTTCAGACTGTTCAGAAGTTTAGGGATAGGGACTTCTGACTGCTTTTAGCAAGATTTATAATAAGAACTAGGAACAAAAGGGAAGCTTAATGATATGAAAATTGTGCAGCTTGGCCAGAAAGGAAGTGACTGTAAAGTTGGGTCCAAGGAAAACACGGTTGATATTAGCATTAAGAAATTAGCATTCGGTGCTCGCTTCAGCAGCACATATACTAAAATTGGAAATTAGCATTTGCATTAGGGCAATAGGAGGGAGGCCTTGACAGCGTCTCAGGAATTAGCCAGATCCCATTCTTTGTAAGCACAGTGGCATAAAAGGGTAAACAACTCTGAAGGACTTTCCTTTAAGAAGAGAGCTCCAGGGATCCCAGGTTATTCAGGACCAAGGAAAGTGTTTCCCAGGGTTTACCTACCCAGGCCCTTACAAACTATTGCAACCATAGTGTAAGAGTGCTGAGCCACTGCTTCCATTGGTAGCAGATCTTGGCATCATCCACTTGGTGATGGTTTTTCAGGTATTCAGAATGCTAGAGTTATGGGGCATTTGAAGCTTCCACCAAGATATCAAAGGAAGGTCTTTGAACCTGGCAATGTGCCCCAAAGGTATAATTTTTGAAAATATGAGAGTCAACTTGAAGGTGTATTGGATACCCCAGGAAGATGGAGATGCCAGGTATGTGGAACATTTGCTAGAAAACTGTAGACAATGAGTGGAGCCAGTCTAAGAGCTAGAGAGAGAAGCCATGTCAGCTGCAACCAGCAAGGTCATAGGAGTGAGGCTTCTCTGGCCCTTTGGAGCTTATATTTCATCATCACATGCTCCAGGTGCTGGACATAGAGCTACAAGATTTAACATTTGCTCTGCTGGGTTTTGGTCTTGCTTTGATCTGATTCTTTTCTATCTCCCCATTCTTCCCTTTTGCAATGGGAATATTTACCTTGCATGTTGGAAGTACTTAATTTTTTTTTATTTTTACAAGGGTTCAAAGCTAAGAGTTTGTCATTAGTCTCAGAAGAGACTTTGGTCTTGGACTTTTCAGCAATGCTCGAAGTGTAAAGTCTTTGGTGATTCTTAGAGATGGACCAAATGCATTTTGCATAATGTGATGGACATGAAGTTTTGGTGGGTGATAAGGGAAGGGATGTTATTGTTTAAATCTACAATGTCCTCCAAGAGTCTGAAGTGTTGGAAGGAGGGGCTTGTTTGGAGGGGAAGATCATGGTGCAGGGGAGCCTGTCTCCCTCTTCAGCCTCTCCCTCTTGCTTTACGTGTCCTGGCTGCCATTAGATAATCTTTTTTTTTTTTTTCTCATGATGCCTCTCTTCCATGACATTCCTGTCTTAGAGCCAGCTGACTCTAGACTTTACCCACTGGGAACTGAGCCAGATAAACTGTTCCTCCTTTAAGTTGCATGTGTTGGGTATTTTGTCCTAGTGATAGGAAAGTGATGAATACAATGATTGTAGAAGCAAATTGACTGTGTTCCCACGAGGATACAGCTTTAAGCTCTTGGCACACTTCAGGGGCTCCTGGCATCTTTTTACTGCACCCTTGGTAGGAGTTTGTACAATTGCACTGCTAATAATATTTTTTGAAAAGAAAAATCTCAGTTTATTCTGGTTTGACCTGAGCAGACCCTGAGAACCTACATGGGTAGAAAAGGCCCAGGTTTGGGAAAAAATAAAATAACGTGTGTGTTTACATGGGCTTAACCTATAGATAAACCTTCTTTCCACCTGGTATGCACAGGAAATACAGAAATGCTCACAGAATGATGAGTGACAAGCTTTGAGAAAATGAATGCAGTACACAGGGCTTGTTTGGTTACCTCACCATATACTATTATCTAACTCCTTATAGATCTTATTAAATTTGATCTAGTCATGCACTCACTAATGCATGCATTCATTTTGTTACCTAAGTTCTAGGGAAATTATTTTTTCTGCACAGAGTGCCAAGTTCAAGTCCAGTCATGGTTCACTGACTATGGATCTGACCTTGGTTTTTGGTCTGGACTCACTTGCTGCCTGTCTTTGGCTGCCTTTGGTCCTGGGCAAACTGAGGTATGGGAAGCAGCCATTGATTGAAGGGTCTCCTGTAAGTAATTTGCTTGGTCTCACACAGGTTGTGACTTTGTCCAGAATTATTAATACAATCTATTGGAAACCAGTTGACCCATTTCTTTGGGTCACTGAGTAGCTCAGAAGTTGTAGCAGATTCCTGTGCAAGCCAAGTTTAATTTTCAGTCAGCCAGTCAACATAACTGTGTTCACATCCAAGTCAAGGAGGTCAATTCAGCAGCCAAACATAAAGAAGGTTTCCTTTTCCACAGACCGCTCAAAAGATTGATTCAATTAGTTTCCACTTTAGGCAAAACAGCCCTTGACTCCAAGTATCTTTTGGCCTGAGAATCCCACAGGACCTGTCGACACCAAAGTAAGGAGATAATTTACATTTGGTGTTGCAGCTTCACGCCAAGCAGTAAGGGGGACATCCCCACCATCAGTTTGCTGGGTCCAAAGCTGTGTCCACCTGGGACCAAAGGTAGAAGCCGAGTCTCTTTTTCTGAATGTGATCTTTGCTTGCTCTTTTTCTTCACTCTGGGCTGAGGATGGCTCACAGCAGCAGCGTTAACAGAGGCATTGCCAGAAGGTGGAAATAGTTTCTGGATCCCACAAATTATGTTGTGTTTTTGCCGCACTCCAGAGCTGTTATTTTACCTTAGCAAAACCAGTAAGGAACACCAAATTATTAAGGTAAGACAAGAAGAATCCAAGTAATAGGCAACTTTGCAATCCAAAACACAATTCCCTCTGGCACTGAATGGACAGATTTTTATAGGATACATGTATGAGTTCTGAACTGAGTCCCACAGGCTCACCTTGTGGATTAGCTCATTTCCACCAGTCAAACATTCCACACACATCTACCAAGACATGCCCTTAGTTAAGGTCTCCTTCCTTCTAGGAGGCTGCTACCTTTAAGAAGAACAAATAGTGTGAGTGTGGCTCTCTGCAGAATGAGGCTTTCTGCATTCTAGTTTGGTGGTTCTCATCTCTTCCTAGATGATGATGTTATAGAGGGAGGTAGATGTCTGGAGTCATACAAGAGATCACAATCTCAGGTTTAATAAGTTCATGCTAGGTGAATTTAAGGTTCAATTCATTTTATTTGGCTATTTAAATTTTCATAAAGATAAGAGATTGCAGTCTCAGACAAGTGCCCTGGAATTGAGGAAGAGTAGAAAAGCACACCTTTGCTACAATGAATCTGACATGTTTTTGAAGACCATTTGTAGATGGGAATGCTACACACTCCAAAAAAGTACTGATGAGTAGGAAAAGATTTTAACTTCTTTTTGAATATAAGCTTTAAATAAGTTTCTAGAGCCAATTTGCAAAAGTGGGAAGCAGATAGGTGGGCCAGTCACTAATCTCTTATTCTGTTCTGAAAAATTAGGCAGAAACAGCATGATTAGGGAACCCTTGGAAGGAAGGAAAGCTTTCCTGAGGGATCAGCAAAGTCATGCAGAACCGGGATGCAAGGGCAGCCAAATTTGACTTGCACCTTACTTCCATGGACGCACAGGAGGTCAGCTCCTTCTGACCAGCCAGTGAAGCTAACAAGATTGATGGGGATATAGCAGGTAGGCCATGCACTGGATGGTGAATCCAGGATTCTTTGGGTGGAGTGGGCTCTTCTTTTTGTTGTCTCTAGGCCCAGGGACTGAGATGGAGTACTTGGGTGTTATGGCTTGTATCTAGATGTTCTTCCAAAGCTTCATGTGCTCATAGGTGGGGATTTCCAGAGGTGACTTTATCTAGGGTGTATGAATGTGATATCTAGTTAAGTCCCCTAGTTGGTTAGCATAGTTCTGAGTGTAGCTCAATGGATTTACTGAAGAGGAAAGACCTACTCTGGGTGTGGGTGACACCAATCAATAGGCTTGTCACTTGGAAGGAATATAAAGGGACAAAAAGAAGGCAGGCTCACTGCTTGCTGCCTTCTTCTTGCTCTGCCAAGGACTGTTTCTCCTCTACCATGCCACCCTGCCTTGGAGCCAGGCTACAATAGACTGAGACCTCTATAAACTATGAGCCAAAATAAACCTTTCTTCCTTTAACTTGTGGGTGTTGGGTATTTTGTCTCAGCAAAGAGAGAAGTAATGAAGACATTGGGAAACTAGTCTAGAGAAAACTTTTAAACCATGCAGGAAGGAGTATGCCACATTGGGTCAGCATGTCATAGGCAGCAAAGAATTAGGGTTCAAGAACTCTGTGCAGCTAAAATGAAACTTCTGCATTTTAATCTCTGTATGGGCCTTCCTAGGAGACTGTCTGCTTGGTGAACACTGTTAGGAATTCCATAAAATCACCACCCACTCCAGCCAGAAACATGGCCAATGACCTGAGGAGTTCTTGAGTTTACTCACCCATTTTAGGGATAGGAAATGATGGATTCCAGGAGATGTGCTGGCTCAAAACTCTTCCTCTCTTGGGATAATGAATCTCACTGGCATTCACCCCAAATACCTCCTAGTTTCCACAGTGAGAATGGATGCACTGAGTGCTGCATTGGCCAATGCAACACAGCTTTGTAGATATCAGGTTTTGGTGTTAATGGTTTCTGTAAATATTATAAAGGATCCATATAATTCTTTACAAAAGAAGTTATTTTCTAAGTAATTTTTCCAAAACTCAGCTATATTCTCCAATGAGACCAAATTTCTTTAGTGTGTTAATCCACTGAAAATTCTAATTTGTGTTCTTAAAGTAAAAGTGCCCCCATAGTTTGAGATAAAATCCTCAGTAATGGGGAGTGGGCTGTGGAACTGGGGACACACTGGGGGACCCGATAATACTGGCTGAGTTGAAGGATGTGTAGTGTTCCACTTCCTTTCCAGGCATTTGAACAATACATAGTATTTGGACTCCCAGTTGGTCACAAGGCATACTGTTCTGTCTCCCAGCCCTGCATCTTTGGTGATATAATGTGTCTGGATAAGATACCAGAATCTCCTCTTCTCAAAGAGGCTCAAGCAGGGAGTTGGCCAAGTTGTGCCAAAGCTCTGTGTTAGTAACAGTCTGACTTTGTGAAATATAAGCTACATGCCATGAAACAATGAGTTTCATTGTTCACAAAAATTTGTTAAATATGCACAGATGTCACATCTCCTACATAATAAAAGTATGTGTGAACTTGTCAAGTGCTTCCTCTGCACGTTGCCCAAGTCTCCTTGCACCCTGGGTCTGAGGTAAAGTTGGCTTAGTCCAGGTGAGATTAGTGAAGGGAGGAGTGGATTTATCTGGGTTTGTTTCAGTGCCATCAGTGGAGTGGGGTCTCTCAGCACCACTCACTAAGATCTTCTCAAGGAGGGGTGGGGGATGAAGGCAGTTGAAGGAATATGATTGCTTCATAGGCTGGGAGATGACTCTCTCCTGTATCATCTTGTAACTGTGAAGAGAACTTTGTGTGACAAGGAAAACATGGCCCAGGTGTGTGGGTAAGTAGCACCTACCACAGGTGTGTTAAAAGTAAAATAGTCTTGAGACATTCAAATACTGTATATTTTAAATATCAATACCTATTAAAATGTTAATTATTGTTTAAAAATAAAGCAAAGTATCTTTAATAGTTTCCATGCAACTGACTTAATACAACTAAATATTACTTGAGGAACAATGTTAACATTTTATATAATGATTTCTTTTCTTTGTTAGGAGCAACTTCCTTCCTTCCTTCTGGATTGTGGACATTTCTCCTGTGCCAGAAGCCTTGGCTGAGTGGCTATGGGTATCTCAGCTTTGTAAATAGCTGTCTGTGGCCTCAGGCCTATCTCCTGGTGCTCATGCCCTTGTGTCCCCACCACTCTTAAGTGCCAATGGCACTTGTGTCCATCTTCCAAAGTAGAGTAAAACAGAGGTGCGGGAAGTGACTTACATGACTGCCACAATAGTATGCTGGCTCACTGGAAGATCTGCTCTGGGGATTTTCCTTGTGGACTCAGTGATAGTGGCCATGGGGGACCCCATGTGGCAAAGAACTATGGTAGTCATCTGGGACTGGAGAACAGATTCTAGGAATTGAGGATGATCTCCAGCTAACAGTGTCCAGAGGCTGGAGCTTTCAGTCTGACAACTGTGAGGAGAAGAATTCTGCCAACAGTAGGAATGGAATGAGTTTGGGCATCTCTTTTGTTCCAGAACCTCCAGAGAATGTGTTCCACTGACACCTGGTCCTCAGCTTGGTGAGGCTTGAGCAGGAAATTGGCCAGTTTTGCCATGTTCTTGACTCACAAAAGCTCTAAAATAAAAAATGTGTGTCATTTTAGACTTCAAATCTGTAGTAATTTGCCATGTGGCCCGGAAATTGATGGACCACCTCGTAGTTAATAAGGGTAGGGTGCAGTGTGCTTTTCAGCCAGAAGGTGGCGCTGTGCCATGGGACTAGAGCCCAATGAAGCTACCTCTTTGTCGCTGCACTAGGATGGGGCCTATCCCAGGGAAGGGATGGGCTAGGTTCCTGGGTGCCAACATTACTGAATAGGAAAAGTTCACTGCATTTCCTTTAGGCATCACCATGACAATAAAGTCGCCATGAGGCATGGTGAGAGCAGACAAGTGCAGGATAAGCTGGCAGCTGATTGGTAGCATTGGGATCTCAGTTATACCTGGGTCAGCTGTGCAATGCATCAAAATGCATGCAGGAAAAGTTGTCACTGAGGAGAGCTAAGACTCTCATAGGGCCCTGTGGCCAAGCCCAGCTCATCCTAGCCCTCTTATGACAGCCGCTGCCTTCATGATCAGCCTGACCTTGGGGAGAAGGACTCTATGTAGCCTTCCTTATGTGGTCATTTTCCAACCTCAAGACTATCTGCACAGCAGACTTATTGTTAGGTTCCACTGGTTTGAGGGCATGGAAATATGGAATTACACACTTTCTATTCTCCCTGAAGCTGAGTTTCATGAGAATCTTTGGTTCTGTTTTCTCTGTATGGAGCTTGAGTTGAGAGCCCAGTGTCTCCTGAACTACAAGCTGCCATCCTACCCTTCCATACTTTGGTCTGACCTCTGAGGAATTCACTAACTGTGGGCTTGAAGGGATTCTTACTTCAGCTTCCAGGGCCAATATCAAGGCTTTAAACATGCCACCCTAGTAATGAGTATTTACCAAGCAGAAGGCCCAGAATCTTTTCATTTTGGCAGCTAAAGAAAGAACAGATGGGAATTGGCCCAGGGCTGATGGCCTGGACAGTGATGGAGGTGCCAAGAGTGTGGGACTTGGCTGTAATCACCTGGCATTCTGGGGACAAAGGGACAGGGTCAGCCCGCAAACACTGGCTTGTGTGATTGGGGCCATAGAAACCAATGTTTGTTCAAGCCACTTGCTTAGTAGCAACTGCTGGCTGGAGTGTGCAGCACTGACAGAGCTGGGTGAATGCGATGATGTTTGCCAAGTGCTGTGTCACTGAACAGGGCATAGCACAAGTGGAAGGGTCACAGCAAAGCACACTCAGGTCACTGCATCACGGCTGTACTTTCCCCTAGGACAGGAAGTTCCATTCTACTCAGGGAGTGAAATGTGAAACTCATGTAATAGGATGACAAGATCCCAGGAAAACATCAGCTGGCCCTCAATCCCCAGAAAGGGAGCTCTCTCTTTGCAGCCCAGTCACCCCTTTCACTAACTGCTGTCTTGGGAGTGGATGAAGAAGCCTATGGTGTAGCTTCAGTGTGACTACCACTTTGTCAGCAGGCCATCCAATTATCTGAAGCTTGCTGGTGATGGAGGAAAGTTGAGTCAGGAAGCCAGCTCTCTGAAACACACTTTCAAGTAAAGAGTCTTCAAGGATGCTTATATTTTACTTTAAAGTTTTCTTGCTTGTCTAGGTGGAACAAGTGAGAGAGGCAAGGGCTACACTGGTACTCAGCAAACAGTAGAGGGCTGTACATAGGAGGTGATGGCCACAGTCCAAATAAGCATTTAGAAAAGAACAATTCAGATCAATGTTCCTTGCACATGGAAGGGATGGCCCATACAGGTGGCCATACCCCATGGAAGATGCCCATCAGTAGGCAGAATGAAGCAGAGTTACTAAGTTAGGATTCACTTCTCCAGTGACACTTGCTCTGTGAAACCTCTTAAATTCAGCACAGACTGGAGCCCTAGGATGTGGATATCCTAGTAGAGTGACAGGGCTGGGGCATGGATGTCTTGGTGGAGTGACAGTACTGGGATGGGTCTATTCCAAAGCACATAGTTCAAATAGAGGGGATGGCTAGAGGGCTACTACATCCCTTCAGAGTAACACACTCTGTCAGATCTGGCATTCCCCTATGTTCTTAGGATCCCTTCAAAGATCTCACCCCCTGGGGAGGCTTTCTGTGTGATATTCATAGATGACAGGTGTCCATTAATAGTTGTTTCAGGATTTATCCATGGAGATAAGCTCTGGTCCCTTGCCAGCTGCTAAGAAGTTATGCTCTTTTCCTTGCAGATAGCCAGGAGGCAGTCCCAATGGGCATGCTTAGGAGGTTCACCACCTATAGGTCAGAGCCCCTTTTGTTCATGGTAGAGAGGATGTGGTGACAGTAACATGATTGGTGGGCAGCATTTTCTGTCCTCCATGACCACCTGAAAGGCATTACATTTGGTTCAGTGGTCTGCTGCCCAGCTGTAAGAAGGTGGGCTGTGTGGGTCAGTTGGTACTATACAGGTTGGCTGTTGAGATGAGACTATGACTGAGAGAGTGACAGATGTTTGTTGAGAATTATGGAACAAGGTCCTCATAATAGTCCAGAAGAAATGGAAAGTTTTAAGTATTATTCATGAACACTTAGCTTATTATTCCACCTCTTTCACCTCCAGCTATCTTCTGCTCACCAGCAGTGCTGTGGTCACTGGCTCATTGAGGGGCTTCTTCCCACTCTGACTACTGATATGGTTTAGATCTGGGGTGTCGACCAAAAGCCTTATGTGTTTGGAAGGTGATTGGATCATAGGGTGTTGTATTCATCAGTGGATTCATCCACTAATGAGTTCAGTAGCTGAATGTACTGTTAAGAAGTGGAGCTGGGAAAAAGTGTGTTACTGAGGGTGTGACCTGGAAAGGTGTATTCTTCCCAGCTCCATCCTTCTTTGCTTCCCAAAAGCTATCATGTGGGCAGCTTTCCTCCACCAAGCCCTTCCACAATACTGTTTTTCCCTTGCAGTTGATTGACTCCCTGTAGACTGAGATCTCTGAAATTGTGAGTCAAAATAAACCTCTCTTCTTTTAAGTTATAAGAGTTGGATGTTGTGTTTCAGCAATAAGAAAAGTGATTAAGACAGATTTTGGTACCAAAAAATGTTTTTCCTGTAACTATACCTGACCAGGTAACTTAGAAATCTTTGAAACTAGTGTGTGGGAGGAGTTTAGAAAGCTTGGATATGCAGGCTAGAGAAGCCCTAGAAGGCTGTAAGCAGAGTTTGATGGCATATTCTTGTCAGAGCTCAGAGCAGAATGCTGAAAGAAATTCACACACTAAAGGCCAGGCTCATGAAGTTTCAGTTGGGAATAATTTTATTGGCAGTTGGACTCTAGGCCATGTGTGTTATGCTTTGGCAGAAAATTTATCTACATTTTGCCTATGTCCTGGACTTTGTGGGAGGGTGAGATTAAGGACAGTAGACTAGTTAAAATTCAAGGTAGCCCAACATTTAGGTTGTGGTATGGGTACTTCTGGGTGTTTTCAGCCAGGATTATAGTGAGAATCAGGGGGAAAAGGCCTATTTGAAAAATTTGGAGTTTTGCCCAGAGGACATAGCCTGCAATGTTGCAGCAAAGGAGCATATTGTTACTGAAAAGATTAGCATTAAAAAGAAGCCAAGTACTTTGCATCAGGACAATAGGAAAGATATCTTGAAGGCATCTCAGGAGTCAGTAAGACCCCACCCTTCAAAGGCTCAAAGTTGTGAAAGTGTAAAACTTTCCTCTGAGAAGAGAGCCCGTAGGTCCATTGCTCAGTTGGTTTCTCAGGATTCATTTCACAGTGACCACTCATAGGCAGTTGGTCAACTCTGTAATGATAATCCGGAGGTCCTAACTACTGTTTTAGCCAGCAGCAGACTTTGGCATCAACTGCATGATGCTGGTTTTTCAGGCATATAGAATGGAAGAGTTGTGAGCCCATGGAAACTACCACCCAGATTTCAGGAGAATGCCTGATAGGGAGGTGGGTGAATCTGTGAGAGTGAAGCTGAAAGTGCAGTGGAAACACCAAGAAGTTTGAGACACCAGGAATCTGGATCATATGCTGAAAGCTACAGACAGTGAGCAAAGCCACCTCTAGGGAAAAGCCATGAGGACTGCAACTGGCAATGCTATAGGTACAGGGCCACCCAAGGTTTTTGAAGCTCACATCTTGCCACAACCTGCTGCTGGTGCTGGACATGGAACTACAAGATTTAATGTTTGTCCTGTTGGTGCCCTGCTGGTGCCATTCCTTTCCATCCCTCTATTTCTCCCTTTAGGAATGGGAATATTTTCCCTATGCCATTTTATGCTAGCAATGTTTAACTTTCATTTTGATTTTTACAGGGTTTCACAGTAAGAGTCTGCTTTGAATCTCAGAGGAGACTTTGGATTTGGACTTTTCAATAATGCTGGAACTGTTAAAACTTTGGTGACTCTTAGAGATGGATTAAATGCACTTGCATAAGGAGATAGACATGTCTCTTGGGAACTAGGGTGGAATGTTATGTTTCAGACCTGGAGTGCCACCCAAATCTCATGTGTTTGAAAGTTGATTGGTTGTGCTATGTTAGAAAGTGAGGCTGGGGAGAGGTGGATCAGTGGGGGCATGACCTGGAAGAGTATATCTTCCTCCATGGCTCCTCCCTTCCTTTTCTTCTTCCTGCCCACCATGATGACTTAGGATTTTTTTCCTACCAGAGCCTTCCACTATGCTGTTTTTCCCTTGGAGCTGGCTAGCCATGCATAGACAGAGACCTCTGAAGCTGTAAGCCAAAGTAAACCTCACTTCCTTTAAGTTGTGGGTATCAGTTAATGTGTCTCAGTGACAAGAAAAATGACTAAGACACCACATAACTGACCTCTCTGGAGGTGAGAGTTGACCATTTTTA